TCTTGTGGACACTGAATCTCCCAGCCTCTCTGACCTTCAGGCCTTCTCTCCTGCAGGACGTTCTCACAGCCACGCAGGCGGCCCTGGCCCACGGGCTCCTCTGGCTGTGCTGGAGGACCGTGGAGCTGCTGGGGCTGCCGCCGGTGGCGCAGCTGGCCAGGCATGCCCTGCTGAACCTGCCAACAAACAGCGACTTCAACACAGCATTCACTAAGGAGAGAACATTCAAACACTCAGTGCAAGAGATACCTACATTTAAATCCTTTTGTTCCTATACTAAGTAGCAAAGTTATTGTTCTGCACTTGAAACTCAAAATTACTGGACCGCGGAAATTTTTCAAGTTATTATTCATTTAACTAATAAGTAATGCAATGCTCCTCTTTCCAAGCTTTAACTAAAATTTACAGACTTTTCATCTTTTACAGTCCCTCTGACTGACTAACTGACTAGTTATTCTATAAAAACATCTTTTGTAATTTTAGTGTCTAGTAATATTAAAAAGTGTCATGGCTGGAATAATGGCAACCTTAAGCCACGAGCAAACCCGTAATTCATAGCTTCATATTACTGGAAACTTAATAAAATGTCCTTAATAAAATAGAGCTATATTAACTGTACACCCAACAGAATATGTGCACACACACATATAATGCATCTACTCGATATTACAATAGGAAGTAGGTTAGGTATGACATCTCAAATGCTGGTTGCACTCATTAAGAAGAAAACCAACTTACAGGTGCATCTCCTAGAGCAGGAAGAGCAGGTGCCTGTCTGGGAGGTCTTCCTCTGGCTCTGGCTCTTCCTGTCATCTTCTAAAACGAGCAATCTGCAGCTTTAGTGTTCTATCTTCTCCTTCCCACCCTGCCCCAATAAAAGGATGAGCAGCACTACTGCACTTGCCCTGCTTTAATTTCAAGTGGCTCAGTAAAATACACGCATCCCTGCAGAATTTGCTGCTCGGGGATCTCCACAGCGACAGAGGCCCAAGGGGAGTGTGGGGAAGCCCTTTCAGCAGGGTTTGCACAGACCGGCACAGGCCGCCACACATCAGAAGCTGCCGGGTCAATGAGATCGGAGAGCACGGCAGGATCTGCGGCCTCAGCCAAGCGGAACGCAGGGCCTTCTGATGTTACTTTCAAGTTTCACTCGGTTCAGTCCGATTTGTGACCTCGCACCAGGAGCAGAGCACACTTCTCCAGAGCAGCTGCCAGCGCTGCGGCCTAGCCAGTCCCGCCCAGCCCTGCCCATCCTCTCCACCCACAGCCACCCTGCTGGGCCCCTGGGCCTGGCCCGAGCCTCCCTGCCCGTCTCGAGCGCTTTGTGGGGGTAAAATCCCCAACCAGAGCCGTGCTCCGCACCCTCACCCGCACCGGCCCTCGGCCTTACCTCAGCCTGCCCTCCGGCCGCACGGGGACGCTGCTACTAGCGCGGGGGCGCCTGCACACAGCAAGCC